CTTCCTTGACAAGTTTATCTTTTCACTTTCCTGGAGGAGAGAAGCTAAAATGAGGGGTTGTTTGGTTTTTTTTTTTCCTTAAGAACTGACAATTTCTGGAAAGCGATGCAGTCACAAACCTCGGTAGCAAAGTGAGGGACAGGCTTCAGGAACAAGTGGCTTTACTAGCAACGCTTCCATGTCGAGTTTATTAGATGTATCTAGAATTGCTATGGAGAAACCCAAACCTGTTGAGTATGTGCCATGGTCACTAGAAAAGACATGGGCCCACTAGGTGGCACAAACGCACCATTTAAAAGCAAAGAGCAAGCCAGGGGGTGCCTACCTCCTCTTCGACATGTTTTATTTATGCATTTATGCGAAGCAAATGGGTACAGATAAAGATTGCACACACAGCTATAGTCCAGTAACCCACACCTCTCTCTTCAAATAAAAACGAGCTCAAATGTAAACGTGCTCCTTTGGAGTTAGAGGCTCAAGGAAAATCTCCCCGAAGAGCAGTATCTGCTCCTGCAGACATTGACTTACGGCTGACTAACTACGCTGCAGCTCGTTTCTGTGTTTGCATTCAGGAAAACACGGCTGTCCCTGCTCAGCACTATTAAGACCGAGAAGGAGAAGCAGCCACTGACATTCTCATTTTCTCCACTTCCTTCCATTTGCCGTCATGCCATTCTAGTTAGTTTGAGCAGTTTAATTCCTGCACCATCACCTTGAAATGGTAAAGGACACTGACAAACCCGGTGGAGCAACTCTGCTCCGATGATGCTGAGGTAGCAGCACACACAGGTGGGATAGGCATTTATCGTGTGATAAATTCCCAAACTCACCACCTACCTGAGCTCTCATGTAGACAAATCTAACACTGAGACATAACAGTGGCAATACAATGATTTTTATACTCATAATTTAAAAAAAAGTCAAAAATCATATTAGAGATAATAAGGGACAATTTCACTACAGCTGGATAGGCACTTATCTAATCATACTGCCGTTGGGAAAATTTCCCAGAGTCACAGCACTGTTGCCCCTCTGGAGACCATCTAGCCCAACCCCCTTCTCAAAGTGGGGTTCTCTACAGCAGGCAGTCCAGGACTGTGTCCCATTGGGTTTCAAATACCTCCATGGACGGGGACTCCACAACCTCTCCAGGAAGCCTGTTGCAGTTTGGCTGGCCTCATGGGAAAAAAAAAAAAGCGCCTTTTTCTTGTGTTTAAATGGAATTCCCTGTATTTCAATTTGTGCCTGTTGTCTTTCGTACCTTCTCTGGATACCCCCGAGAAGAGGCTGTCTCCATTGTTTCATTCCCACTCATCAGGTATTCAGGTATATGGAGATGTTTCCCCCTCCCCCCCCCCCCCCACTTCTCAAGGCTGAACACCCTCCAGCCTGCTCAGCTTCTCCTCATGTGAGATGCTCCAATCCCTTAATCATCTTCGGGGCCCTTTGCTGGACTTGCCAAGGATGTCCATGCCCACATTGTACCGGGAGCCTACGGAAGACGATGTGTTTGGGGAGTGAGCTGTCTTGGGCAAGCCGTGCCTGCTCCATGGGGCGCCAGCAGCCCAGGGAGCCGCTGTGCGGGGAATGGGCTGGAGGGCTCCGTGCCAGCCTGTGCCGCGCGCTGGCGGGGACTGTGACAGAAGCAGCCTGCCAGCAGGGAGATGGGGTTTCTGCCTTTGTGGCTAAAACAGTGCTGATAACACACCAGCGCTTCGGCTGTTGCTGAACGGTGCTTGCACAGCATCGAGGCTTTCTCTCTTCCCCCACTTGGCCGACAAGATAATTACGCCGGAGGATGAGCGGTAAGACTTTAGGTCTGGGAATTAATACTGACTGCTGTGGTGATGATGATCTTTGCATTGCCCAAGAAGGGTCAGAGGACGAAATGAAAGCGAAACGCCTGTATACATAAAGCTAGAAGACTAGGGTTCCGAAACTGCACCCAACTGGTTTCTTACAGTTAGCAAGGAGGAAGTATAAAATTCTGCCCCAAAAAATGGTTTAAAGAAATCAAAAAGTCTGCGGACATACAGTTTTATTTAGGAATAAGAGCATTTGAATAGATCAGGCTTGCCACATGTGCACCAATTTCTGTATAAAATACTTTAAAGACTGAAGTCCTACTCTTAACCTTTTTTAATTAGCATCACATAGGAACCTCAGTGCTTCTCAGATTTAGGGTGACAAAAAAAAGGAACAAATTGGGTTTTCCAACTGAACCCTAGAATTGCTTATTTATCTCTATTTTAGGGACATACTGTAAGACAAGAAAAAACTCTAAGAATTTCTTAAAAACACATTATGATGTTTAACTGAGCACTTTCAGTTTTAATAACTTGATAAAAACTGTCCTTTTATTCTCTTCAGATTCCCCTGCTTCTAACAATGTGCTTTCCTTGTTTTGCAAACAGCCCCAACAATTACTGCTTCTCCTGTTATTTTTCTAAGGTTATTTTTCCCCCATCCCCAACTGCAGATAACAACAGAAGACCGACAACTTGAGTGTTCAGACTTTTCCCGTCATTTAATGCCTGCCACACTCTGCTTCAACTCACCCCAGCTGAGGACTAAAACGGGTCATCAGGCTTCCATGATCTGTTGACCTTCCAGAAGGTGAGGAGAGCACCGAAGCTTCTTGGAGTAGGCTCCACGAGAGTCACGTTAATATCCACACACACAATGGCTTGTTTCATACATGACGTATATGGCAGTTCCTAAAATTAAATTTTCTACAAATTTGTGCTTGTTTTGTACTTCATTAAACGAAATACTTGATTTTAAAGCAAAGTTGTATAAATATTACTTTTCTCTTATTCTAGTTGCTTACAACAATATATATAAAATAACAGTAACAGAAGGTAAAATGACAGCTTTACTCTAGTTTGAATAATAGGAATGTTTTAGTTTTAGAAAGCTGCACAGGCTGTGGTCAGCAAAATGATACCAGTTTTATTACAGCATCTGTGCTCAACAATCTGCTAATTCTTCATCATTAAAATTCATGAAAGAATTACTATTAACCAAAGTGTTACGGTTTTAATTGTAATGTCAAAATCCAGTTTTTGGTAAGATGAAATACAGTATTTTCAATATAATAGAACACTTGCTCCTTTTCTTTTTTAATTCAGATTCCAATTTAAAAGGGTTTGTATACAAAATAAGACATTTAAAAGTCACCACTGAAGACAGCAAGAGCAGAACATGAATTCATTTCCCATTCTTACTGAACTGCTTCATCCTGAATAATTAACGTCGATTAGCATCAGTCGAAACTACTGACTTAATACGAACAGTATTGATGCCTAAGTAAGGTTTAGACGACAACCTCCCCACTCCTGTAACTGGCAAATAAGAGACCCGAAAAGTAAAAAGTATGAGGTGCACCCGCTTCAAACAAACGATTCCTTCCAACAGCTCAGAAGCCCAATGTGGTACAAGGATTTTCAGGTCCTTCTGAATGGGTGTTCTAAGTTGGTTTAAATTAGTAACGTTTAATACATATAGACACATGTTAAATAACAAAATGGACAAAACACAATATATGAAAATTAAAATATATCTATATAGTTTGCAACAGCAATAATTTATCTATGAATATATGAGTCAGTATTTCCAGTTACCACAATATTCTTTATAATTTCTACCTGTAACAATCTTAGTGCAAAATGGACAAAATTTAAAAGCAGGAAAAAACCCACTTTTTTTTCCATGTCATTTAAGATGTTGCTTACACCTTAGAGATGCTTGTAGCGTGAGCTGGGAGTCACAGGTTTTTATTGAACAGTAGTCACACAGAACAGGACCCGTTGGCCAGTGCAAGGACGTGCAACGATACATCCTCCCCCTTCTAGTCCTCCCCTTGACACCTACAAACACACATCACGTCAGCCTGGAAGGCGCGTAATTGTTAGAAAACTGGATGTTCTGGAGTAGAAGAATGATTTGACACACAATTACCTGCACAGACGGACTTTAAGAGCACATCATAAGACTGTGATTGCTAATCGCATCTTACTTCATAGCCTAAATTGGAAATGCTCCTCTGCTAAATATTAGCATTTCAAGATTTCTATTTTTATCATATTTAAAGATTAGTTCTCACTGCGTTTACCTAATATGTGTGTCACAACAAAAAGGCCTGTGTCACCTCTCCAACAGCTTGAGCTTCACAGTGTGAAGGATTCCAGGTCTAGTTCTGATCTTTTAAACCCCAAATTTGAAAAATATCTCCAGATATGATTCAAAAATGAAAATATGAAATACTTCAGAATTAATTTTATACTATTTAAAGGATTTCAATACATCTTTAAAAATATAATTTCTCTCTTCACTTTTTATCTAATACTGGGATAATATTTAAAATGCAATTTCACACAAAGATTAAGCAAAAGGAGATAAGTAGTTGTTAATAACAGAAACATTAAAAAAGAATAACTGATAGACTTTTTTATTAAGAAAAGGTACAGTAAATAAAATGCATTCACAAATAGATAACCAATACTTTTAAATACCACAAAGAATGACGTGTAAATGGAAAACACCTGTTAAAAGCCCAAACATAGGAAATCATCATGAGTCTAAAACATCCACTGGCTCAGCATTTCTAAGACAATCACGTATGTTATTCTGTTAGCTCACACCAAGATGAACAAACTTCTGTAACCATATGAGATAAGCACACAGAAATAAAATAGTAAAACAAAACCAAGAGATTGTCACATCAAGTACTCGTTTCCTTCTTATGATTATTACGTTTCCAAAACAGTAACAAAACTCAGCCAGCCTTGATGCAAAACCTGTCAAACAGCCAGCAGAAAACCAGTCGCCCCAGCCAGATGGAAAAGCAGAATTTTGCAAAGTTGATTACGTCACCAGTTCTCAGAAATTTCAAAGGTAATGACCGATTTGAAGAAAACAGAGGTAGAAAAAGTCAGCCTTCATAATTTAAAAAAAAAAGTCCTTGTAACAAGGTAATGCTTCAGTTGCTCAAGTGCTGGTTATTCTTTGAAGCTCACATTTCTGGTGGAGAAAGAAAAAAATTTTCAAAATAAAGCTATTATATTTTACTAATTAATATTAGGATAAAAAGTAATAATTAGATTTACCCTTCTCATGTTCTCTTCCATTACTCCTGAATATCAACTGTTAGCATATTATCTAAAACTCTGCATTTCAGTTCACTGACTCCTTACTCAAATGCTTAACAAAAGTACACAGGAGACGAGGAGGAAGTTTCTTGAGAAGATTAAGTCAGGTTAGAGAAAAAGACAGTTGTAACACTACAGAACAGTAGTTACAGAGCGCACTTTGCTGTGGTAAGCTCCCAGGAAGGAATAAATAAGTAGAGTGAAAGATGGTGATGGTACTACTGAGATCATCCTAATGTAATAATCCCTGGATAGGTTCAAAAGGCAAGATAGAAAAAGACTTAAACTGCATATGAATGCAGTTGTTTAAAACCACTTTCTTTAAAAATACATACTTCATGAAAACGGGATGTTGTCTGCTAAGATCTGGTACAGATCTGCCATTGTTAAAACAGAGTTCACAAATAGTAGGATAAAAATAGTTCACTATATGGTATTCGTCAGTTTCACTGGGCTATTTTTGTTGCTCTTGGGACTCGCTGTAAAGCAAGGAAGACTAAAGACAATTCTCCACTGATGACAGTCATTCTCAGAAATATATTATCTGTCGTTATCTCAGTCAAAGTGCTGATTTGCAATGTAACAGCGTTTGCCTACAGGCTCACCAGTAAAGCCACAGTCGTAACTGCTGTTTCATTCCCACTATCAATATCTCATTTGCTACAGTTTCCTTTTTTTTTGCTTCGTCCAAAAACCAGCAGAAGAGGAAAACTGCTGACAATGTGGATCATGCCGTGCTGACCTCAGTTCTCAGGAACCCTGTGTTCTTGTCAACAGAAGTAAGCTTAAGAACAAGCCATACGTATTTACCAACAAAAAGAAAGTTTAGAACCTTACCAATTTGGAATTCAGTTCCTTGGAGTTTAGCAGGTAGATAGTTAGATTCCTGAGCTGTTATAGTGTACTATATAGCTGTCATAGCACACATGCTTCCTAAACCCATCACTGTTTCTCTCACCCCGTCCTTCTGCTTTTCACTGCAATTTATTGTGCAGTATAGAACAGACAGGCTATAAAGTCAACAATCAGGCCTGTAACACATAACTGACATCACCTAAACCAACAGTGATCTCTAAAAGAACAAAAATGTCGGTGAAAATGAACAGGTGAGAGGCTGATTTTGATTCCACAAAGTTATGGACTCTGGTGACTCCGATCTTAAGACATTCATATCATTGAAGCACTAACAATGAAAAAATGCATTATTTTTATGCCCTTGTTTTGGAGACAGTTTCATCTAATGTGTAGGGTTCAAATGCGTTTTAGGTGGACTGACTCCTATGGAGTGTCTTTCATTCATTGCTGTACTTGAGCGAATTTCATGGCATTTCTCTTAATAGGAACCACTCGTAGTTTGGAGATAACTATTAACAATAATAAATTTGCCATATGTCTCTGGATATAACCAATGGTAATAATAAGCAGGCGCTATATCTTTGGAAGCTGTCAGCTGCTACAAGACCATTAACAAAACCAGGAATGGGAATCCATTACATTATATTGTCTTTGGACAGCACTTTGCATCTACCATTTTCCATCAATACTTTATAGTAGGAGAGTCAACAGAAGAACTTAGAGCCACCAAAGCGTGTAAGAATTTCATATAATTAAAAAAGTATTACTCAGAAGCACTTTAAACCTAACTCCAAAAGAAGCTAACCTCAAATCGCTTACTTTTCAGCTGCTGCTTGATCAGTTGTCCTGACAATGGTACGTTCTGGAGAATGTGAGGGAGACCTTAACGTTGAACTGAGAGGAGGTGAAGCACGTAATGACGACGTGGAGAGACCATGTCGGCGCATTTCCTGAATCGCACGCTCTCTACCAACAGACAGCAATCTCAGTTACATAACGCATTGGTATGGCAGGATGTTAAAGGAAGAAAACCCAACCTTTTTTTCCATATTTTTACTTGGTGATTTTCACAACACTTTGCAAAGAGCCTTGTTTTCTCATAATGTCACTCAACTTTCTTCTCGTTTTCATGAGGAAGGATTTTTTTTAAATACAATGGTAAACTCATAAAATTCACCAGGGAATTCAGAAACTGTGTAAGGTTTTTTTTTCTTTTTTTCATTAAGCAGTTTTCAAGAAGAGAATATTAGATTTTGCAGGAAATAGGAACACAATTTTCCATAGAAGTTGCTCACTATTGAAAAAAGCAACAAAGAGCCACCTCACTGAAAAAACAGCACCTTACCGTTCAAATCGTTCAGTTGTCAGTTGCCTTTTTAAAATATCACAGTCAGTCTGCAGCTGTGCAACTTTACTTCGAAGTATGGGAACCTCTCTATTACAGCTGCTTCTAAAAAAAAAAAAAATCATGAGAAGCAACAAAGTTTTCTTTGAACATCTTCAGCTAGGAGCTTAAATGAATTAGAGCAAGATAAAACAAAAACAGATACTGAACATGTTGTTTCACACAGACCAAATCAAAGACAAATTAGAAGCACTGAGAACCAAGTGAATGCAACAGAATGTTTCTGGAAGAACCTAAGGTGAGAAAGCAGTGAGAAGCTGGCAAGCCTCTCACTACATCCTTACTACAATACATCATGTTATTTTCAGACAAAGGTAAACATGAACATGTTTTACAAAACCAGACAAAACAATTAAATCCTTAATTTATTGATTTACTACCCTCTGTTGCAATGTGAGATGGTCTTTACATGTACACTTAAAAAAAAGAAAAACGCAGTAACTATCCACAAAACACACAAACATAACAGATATGGCTTCAGTGAAAATTATATCGAGTAGGCTGGAAATATCTGGCTAGCAATGAACACAACTGAGTCCAATCTAAGTAAAAGCTGTATTAATGTAAGCTCAGACCAGCAAAGCCCCGAGTTTGAAAGCTCCTCAACTACACCCTTGGTGTCTGGGCCCAGCTGTTTCAACTGCAAGAACTGAAATGAAAAGCAGCCTTGAAAATCTTAAGTAACATAATTAAATATACTTCTTATCAAATCAGCAGCATGGACAACTCAATGGTTGGTTGCAAAACACTGTTAATTGCATAATAAAGCAAGCAAGCAAAAAAAAAAAAAAAAAATCATAGCATGTAAAATAAGTTGTCTAAACCAGCCTCTAGACAGCTACGTTATTCCATAGAGTCTTCAAAGCCCATATGAAGTGGAGTGCTCAAAAGTCACTTCCAGGGGAGCAAAGATGTACTAGTTTATTGCTAAAGCACCGGACTTGAATTCTGAAAAACGAGTTCCACTCCTAGCTCAGTCACAGGCTTCCTGTCTGGCACCCGCTGGTCTCTGACTCCAGGAGATGCAAATTACTCAAGAGATTTGATCCAAAAAGAACCGCAGAATATTTTTTCCTGTGTTCCCTATTCATCAGTAAAATTCCTAGAATGGTATCTTGATCCAGTATGTTGAGAACAGACGCAGAAGACAAGAAGTCTTGATGATATCTTAGTCTAAGTCCTTCAGAGACAGGCATATGCTTTCAGGATGGAGGTAAGAATTCAGGGCCCAATAGCATTATTGTAAAATAAAGAAAGAAAGCAAACAGTTTTGTGAGTTCTGAGGTCATCCAATGTCCATGACATTTAAACAAAATTAAGATCATGAAGTAAACCACTCCAAAATTAAGAAATATTTTAATTTGGAACCCCTATGCACAGTAATCATCATATAATAAGATTACTATATATAATATTTTCTCACAGGACATCTGGCTCTTTCGCAGTGGATACAGATAGCTCTCAACAAGCAGTTCAGCTAGTCAATATTCTCTGTTTATTTAATATTTAATGGCTGGAGAGCCTCAAGATCTCATTTACTATCACCCAAATAGTACTCTGAGTAACACAACTACTAATCTTCACAGAGCTCGAAATTACAGCACTGGAGAACTTCACAAGTCAAACTTAATTTTGAGAATCCTACTGAAGTCAGAGGATGTATCAATACCATTTTAAAATAGAGTGTAAGCGCAGGCACAATAAGGCCAGAACTGTAAATAATGTTCAAAAATATTGACACACGATTTTTGCCAGTTAGAACTGAAATTTTGCCAAGTTAAATGAACTTTTAGATGTTGCAAGATACAAACATAAATATCACATCCTTCAGTCACAGCTGCGAGTATTTAAAGTTCCTGTTCTTTAGACTACAACTACTACAAACCAAGCAGCAGAAAATAAGGTATATACAACTAGTTCTCACACCTGAAAATTTGCCTAGCAACATGCAGAACCTTGGAGATAAGCAGAGGAACACAATTTAATAGAGCAGCCACTTTTCCTCCAAAAGAACATTTTCCTCCTTCCTGCGGTATCCCATCCTATTAACAACGCAAGTACTGACATTTACAACAAACAAGAAAGGAACCCTACAGTGTGTGTGGAAGAAAAATTGTGAAAAAATTACTATGAAGTTATTTAAACAGAGTTTTATAATGTCTGTACACAAAGAAGCTAAACTAAAAGTAAATGAAAACATCCTCCTTTCCTTTTTTTTTTGGTCTTTTTTTTTTTGTAACTTTCACATTTAATTTCATAGTCAGGACATTCCATTAGTTTATGTTCTTTGTATGCAATTAACTTTTTTCCCCCAAGTAAACAAAACTCAGCAATTCTAAAACATGAAGCAACGAGCTGCCCAGGGGCGATTAATAGTGTCATCATCTACAGGTTCACTGAGGTCCGTGCTCCTTGCGGTGGGCCCCCATCAGCAGTAAGGTGCAGCCTTTACGTAAATCAACCAAAAGCATTTTTCTTGCATATTTGCTTCACAAGTAACAGATAGCTTTTAACTGTTTAGGTATGCTATATTCTGTATCTCATAAGGAAGCATTATCTGTCCTTTTACTTTC